CCTCGGGGGGGCGCATCCAGCCCTCGGGCCTTAGGTTGCCTACCCCTGCACTATTGCATACCCTGCAACTTTCCCCATTTGACAGGGACAGTCTCTTTTAGTCCCCTCATCCCACTTTTTCAGCTGCTTTTATAATGTCCCAGTTTCTTTCCCCTCCCACTTCCCCCTCTGTCTTTGGGGCCAGACAGATGGGAGGAAAAAGCAGTTTGAAGCTGCCTTTTCTGAAGCCACATTGAAACCTCACCAACTGCACCACCCACTCCCAAGGCAGCTTCAGTGCACGTGTCATGACCACACAGCATGGCTTCAAGACGTGCTGCTGAGTACTTTTTAAAACTCTCCCTCCCACCATCCCTGTACACTGTTGTAGGAGCAAACTGTTGGTGACTGCCATCCTATTGGATGGCTGTCCCTGTGAACTTGCACATAGTCGCATTTGCAACGTTCCACCAGAACAGTGCACTGGAGCAGAGGAGTGCCCATGCAGATGTCAATAAGGTAAAACCATGCTCCTGTCACCCCATGCCCCTCTGTGACCGTCTGGTTTGTGTATGTTTACTTAGCTCCATGACAGGTATCAGAGTTTCTCTTTTGGGCATTGCCACCCCCACCGCTTGGATATGGCAGCTCCGTCCCTTCTAAATGCACTCCTGAGAAGGGGCGTTTATATGTACAATTAGGGTTAGGGTTAGGATAGATTACCCCTTTAGAGCTACCCTGGTGTTGTGGGGTTTAGATGAATGCTTGAAGGTGCATATTTTCTGGGAAGAAGCAGAAAAATCAAGCTCCTTTTTAGTCTGGCTTTTCTCCCCGTAGTGTGGCATGGGAGCAGTTTCCAGCCAGCTTCAAGCCTTGTATCATTTAAACACCCTGCCTCAAAGCTGGCCCAAAACCTGCTTATTTTGACAGTCTGTTTCACCCCTTCGGCTTGCTTCCAGTGATACAAACTGAGTTCAAAGTACAAAAGTAGTTTTCACCCAATTAATTCAGCAAGGGCAGAGGAATGGAGGGGTTGAATCTTATCCTTTCTCAAAGGCTCAGACAAAAGCAAACTGCTGAAGCCTTTCATTGCTTGTGCTTTCTTCTCACTAGTAACTTTTGCCATATTGACCACATTCTGATGTGCCTTTTTCATCTGTGAAATGTTAAAGGATATGCTATTGAAAGCTTTTTTTGTATGAACAATCAGATTCCCCAAACCTGTTGGTACAAACAACTTGCCTACAGATGGAATATAAGGAGGGAACCAGTCTAGTCTCCCTATGAGGGGAATTCAGGTGCCTGGGAGCAAACAGAAGATCATTTTCCTCATTCTCATCATAAATGCTTGTGAGGATGGCAGAAATGAGAAAAGCGCTCCTCACCTCCAAAATCTCAAAGCCCAGGACAGCTTGTATGGGATAGTTTGAACCCAAGCCATATAGGGTCCAAACTAACATTTTGAATTGTGCCTGGAAAGAAAGCAGTAGCTAGTATTGCTGTAAAAAGGGAATCATGCATTCCCTATAATCAGCCACAGTTAACAGTCTGCAACTTTTGGGCCAGATGAAATTTTCAGTCTTCAAAGGCAGCCCTTCATGGAGTTTCTTGCAGTAATCAACAGTGGATGCAACCAAAGTATTGCCAACTGGGCCAGAGCAGGCATCTGTAGGAAAGGGTGCACCTGGCACACTAGATTTAACTGTACACATGTACCACAGGGATGAATTCAGGAGTACACTCAACCTGCCCGCCTGTGCCTTCAGGGGTTTATTACTTTGTCTGGAATAAGATGAATTTGTATTTCCTGATCTGTATTTTGCCTGACTAGGAGGGCCTCTCTCTTGCCTGGAATTAGGTTTGCCCTGATTCGCATTACTGATTATAGATATTGGTTTAGAACCAAGTCAACATCCTCAGATTTAGGAGGCAAACAGAAATGGTGTTGGGTACATCAGCATACTAGTGGCACTGGACCCAAACTTCTGAATAACTTCACACAGCAGTTTTGTGTACATGTTACTTAGTAATGGGGGACAGAACAGGCTCCAGAGATGAGCAGCCAAGGCATTGGACAGTTATCTCCCAACAACACTTTCTGAGTTTTCCAACTCCAGGAAGGAACAGTGCCATCGTAAAGTCCCATCCCAGTGAGGACAACCAGAAGAAAACCATGGTCAATGATACTAGAAGATGCTGATGGTCCAGCAGAGAACCAACAGAGCCATATATATCTACTAACTGGCAAGGTTAATCCACCAAGGGAATCAAAACTGTCTCGGTCCGGGTCTGAAGCCAGGTCTGAAACCAGATTGAAGTGGATCTAGATAATCCATCTCATCTAAACACCCCTGGAGATGGGGAAACTACCATGCACTCCAATAGCTTTCCTCTTCCCCCATGGAATATTGCAAGTTGTCTACAAATTATCCATTATGGATGGATTTGGGAAAGGCTTTTCCAACAGAGGTCTTCCAACTGCTTCATTAAGGCAAGTTGGTACCTTCCCTTGCTGTAAAGAGGCAGTAACCACTACTTTTACCCATTTGATCCCATTCCCACCTGGCTTTTTCAATCCTAATACTGAAATCTAATCATGTCAAATTAAATATTGATAAATATGATTAGGCTTTCATATGCTTTGCAAGTTGACATATCCTTGCTAGTTAATTGCAGCATGACCAAAAGAAAGTACAAACACCACACTGTTTTTCTTATGTAAAACACTGAGTACCAACAGAGTAATTTACCTAAACAGTAAAATAGTAGACTTGTCTACTAAGGACAGACATGTGGGTTAAAAAGCTGAACAGATACAAGTCTCATTAGGATGCACAGCATGATATATAAAGGCAATTGATTACTTCTTCACTGTAAGAGCTGCTCAGCAGTGGAGTAGATAGCCTCAGAGGATGGTAGATTTCTCCTTCTTTGGAGGTCTTTTAAAAAAAGGTTGGGCGGCTATCTTAGGAGTGCTTTAATTGTATATTCCTGCATGGCAGGGGGTTGGATTAGATGGCCTTTGAGGTATCGTCTAACTCTATGATTCTATGATGGGATGGTGCAGAAAAGCTAGTGCAGCACAATCACCAGGCATCCCTAGTAAGATTGAAAGAATAGTCCTCTTGTCCCAGCATAAAGATTTTGGACTTCAGTCAGCAGGAGAGTGATCTGTTTATTACATGGATCTAGTCTTAGATAAGCCATTTGTGTGGCAAGAATGCACTATGCAACTGTGTGTAAAATATTCCATAAATTGTCTCCCTCTTGACCACATGACTATGCAAGGCTGTGTCTCTTTCAGTATTGGCTGCTGGATTTAAACTGTGTGCGCTTTAGATGCAGCAGAATCATAGCCTTTAGTACATAATGCCTGCAGCACAGTGTAATGGCTCCGTTAAGCCTCATGGAAGAAGACAGCCTTTCCTGGAATAGCACTGTATCAGTATGTTGCCCTAGCCAGGACTCTAGCTTCTCCTTTCCCTTCCTGGAAAAGCGGTTCAATTATTAATCACAGAACCTACTGCTGTCACCAGTGGACAATGGAGGGTTTTGCTTCCTTTTATTTACTCCTCTTATTCAGCACATCTCTCTCCCCACTCCCCTTGTTCTTTCTTTCTTTTTCTTTTTTTTTTTTTTACAGCTCAGCAGATTCACCAATGCAGAGGCATCAGCTGATAATATAACAGGCATACCAGAGAGAGAGATACAAGAGGCAAACATAGCTTCATCTCTGTTTCTGGATATGCTTATATATTTATACACAGTATAAATGCACACATACACATGCACACACACACACATTAAGCACAGGTAGGTGTAT